GGCCTTGGCAAGCCTTCTTCCTCAGCCTTCTCAAGCGGACTCCTTGGCAGCAGTCTCCTTCGCGAGGCGCTTCTCTCCTTTGGCCTTCTCGTCGGCCTCGCGCTTCTCCTGGAGCTGCTGAAGCCTCCTTCTCCTCGATCCAGGCGCTCGCGCTGAGCAGTGTCGATAGGTCGTGCGGCACCGAAGGGGCTGGCCTTGGCGTCGGAGGTGGCGGAAGGGGAAAGGACCTCGGGAGCCTCAGAGACAGTCCTCTTGGCGAGGTTGAGCTTCGGACGGCCCAGCGGGGGCGACGGCCGCAGCGGGGGCGGCCGAGGGGGAACCGGGGGCCTCGCTGCCATCGCGAGACTGCTCCTTGGAGGCGTCGGGGCGCATGCCGGCGCGCCACTGGTTATCCTTCTCGGCAGCGGTGGGTTCGCGGGGCTCGCGCTCCGGGCGGTCGACGCTGTCGTGGCGAGGGGCACGCTGACCCTCCTGACGGGGAGGGAGGTTCTGGCCCTCACCCCAAGTGGCAGGAGACTGTCGGCGGTCACCACCGCGGTAAGATTCGGAACGGGGTCCGAGACCAGCCTCTCCAGAGTGGCTTCCCTCGCGGGGACCAGAGCGCTCCGGCTGTGGTGCAGGAGCCAGGGGGCCCTTGCGCTCCCAGTTGCCAAAGTCGCGAACCTTGCCATCGTCAGGGGCGAACTCGCGAGGTTCACGAGGCTCGCGAGGACCACGGCGCTCTCCAAAGTCACCACCACGGTCGTTTCCACCACGACCGGGAAGGTCGGCCAGGGGACCCTTGCGCGACCAGTCGCTCAGGTCACGGTTGGAATCGCCGCCACGTCCATCGTTGCGAGCTGAGAGGAGTCAGCCATGATATGCTACAGGTGGGGCAGGCGGAGCGACTCACGGGGATCGGCAATCTTGACGCGGATGGTACGGCCCTGGAAGTTCTCGCCGTCGAGCTCAAGGGCCTTCTTCAGACCGTCGAGAGTAGCGAACTCGGCATAGGCAAACCCCTTGGGGCGCATCTGCTCACGGTCCTCAATGATGCGGACACTGATGATCTCGCAGCCGGCGAAGAATTCGTTGACGGTGTCGTTGGTGGCATCGTACGAAAGGTTGCCGAGGTGAGCGGTGTAGGGGGGCTTCTCGGGAAGCTTGGGAGGGCCACCGAAGTTCTCGCGCGGGGCATAGCCTAGGAAGGGGTTAACCATATGCAAACAGGAGCGGTACGAAAGAGGGGCAACGAACTGCGCTCGTTGCTGCCCCAGCCAGTGCTGGACCCGGCGCCGTAGCCGGTACGGCGCTCGGTGGCAGGGAGAGCTTGGGTGCCGACAACTGTGAGGTGGTTAGCATGCGTGGGACAGTGTGGGAAGGGCCAGCGGGCGCAAAGTAACGCACCAGCTATGTGGTGGTCAGCGAGGCTGCGGGAGATGGGTGAAAAGAAAGCACGCCGACTCACCATAGGTGTCTTCAACCTCGTCGGCCCAGGATCCTCCAAGAGCTGTTTTGTGTTGGTCAGTCATTTGGTCTCGGGCTGCGGTCCAAAGGAGCACGCCATCTCAAGAAGCAATCGGTGTACCGAGGTCGAGACTGCAGTATTGTTGAGATGGAAGTGGGGAGGGAGGGAGGGGGGGAGACCACAATCGCTGGATGCAACTGACTTTCATCGTGGAGGAAGTCGCCAAGCGACATCTTCTGGGCTTCCTTCTTCTTAGGAGCTATTCGAAGGTTAGCGTCAGCAACATGTTGGGCGAGGATAGCGATCGCAAGCCAAGATTGTCGTGGCATCGTGGCTGATGATGACAAGGAAGAGGGGGGGTAAAAACGCACCCATGATTGCGGTTGGAGGGCGACGCGCAACGAGATGGATCGATGCGCGTTAGGCAGGCGCTGACAGGACGACCGAGGGATTTGACGTCCGTTGGAGGTGACTGAAGTCGGGAGATTCGGCGGCGGCAGGGGGAGGAGGGGGTGCTCGAGTCGCCGGAAAAGTCGCGTTGGTGACGATATCAAAGTCGTGGTGCGAGGTTGGCAGGCCCAGGAGGTTGTAGGCGCTGGGTCTGGGTCTGGTCCTCAGGAAGCGAAAGGCAAAGGCAAAGGCAAAGGAAGCTTTTCCCAGCCAGAGGGCGATCCAGGCTGTGTGAGGGATTCAAAATTCAAAGGTGGGCAGAGCTAGCCTTGTCGGGATTAGCGTAGCTCGAGGTCCGCCTTCCTCCAACGCGCGGGCCCCACGGCTCGGTCGCCGGGAAAACCCGTGATTTGCTCCATGGTTAGACCACGCCAAGCCTGTGCAGTACCGCCCTCGCCTTTGACGAATGCACACTGCAGGCTCACCTACCTAAGGTACCTCGAACTAGTACCGACTGCATGCCCGTTGAGCGAGCCATGACAGCTCAGTGAGGAGGCATCATCGCTGCCTCGACTCCCACACTTGCTGCAGCATGGCCGAGAATGACAGCACGTCGCAGACCCGGGCCAAGGCTCGACGAGGTCTGCTGCCTCCAGAACTGATCGATGTCGTTGTGCCATCAATCAAAGTTGGCGGATTGACAGGTACCCCCTATGCATTCGCCCGACCAAAGTTCCGAGCTTAAACAATGCTGACTCTGTGCAAAGGTGCGGCTGGTATATTCACTGGCATCACGGCGGGCATCATACGCGATGCCTCACCGGCGTTGTTTGGCATCGCGTCCGGCATACAATGGTTCACCCTTGGATCAACCTTTTGGTGTATGTCGGACATCAACTGCCTTCATGGGCAAGCCTTGCTGACCCCAATCAGTGTCCAGGACAGTCGCCATCAAGGCATGGGGAGGTGAAGCAGTCATCAACAAGACTGACAGGACAAAAGCGAGTGCACTGGCTGGCGGCACCGCCGGTGCCGTTGGCGGTCTCATCCGTAAGTAATGCAACCCGGCACATGGTGCGGCCAAGACATACGTGCTGATATCGCGTCTTAGGCGGTCCAAGGAATATTCTGCCTGGCTTCATCATATTTTCACTCGCCGGTGGCATAGGTCAGCTTTTTACCAACAGCGTTGTGAACGCTCCCGCCAACCCCAACAGCAAGAGTATTCTGCAGTCAAAATGGAGTCCTCTCAAGAAGCTCACCGACGATGAGTATCGACACCTCATGGACGAGAAAGTTCTTCGCATTGACACGGAAATCGCCCTCATTGATGACAAGATTGCTGAGCTCCGGGCCTCCCATCAAGAAGCAGGGAACGGACCATTGCCGCCACCAGTTAACGATGCGAGCCCGAAAGCCGCCTGAAGGAATCAGGGGGGATTGCACTCTCAATATGGGGTGCTGTTCAATGGATTAGTCTCAACCCCATCACCCACAGTAGGAGAGGCAGAGAGAAAGACGGGCCTGAGCTGGCGGGCAATCTGCCATCGGGCGCGACCAGGATGATCGGCCGCAGCAGGCCAGACAATTTCGCTGTACTGTATATCACACCATCTGTACCATACCTGTGCTTCAATGAGCGAATGACATCGCAATTTTGCAAAGAGCACGATCGACAGGATCAAGAGAAGCAATGGAACGACATTCAATTTAAGGATTCAGAGGGCATCGATACGTATAGCTCCGAGGCGGATGGGTGTGCGTTGACGAGTATCGTGTGCTTGTGGCCACCATGGTTTCCCAATGAGGTGGATACATGGGAGTTGTCAATCGGACTTGAATCAGGCCTACCGTGCGATTGTGAAGCATCAATCCGGACGTGAGGGTCCTGCCGGTGAGAAAGTGGGTCCAGGGGAGCGCGCGTTGGGCTTCATGTCCGACCCGCCAACTGCTTACAATCTCGTGAGATCGCCTGGCCGATCGTATTCTGGAACA